GCGATGATTGCTCTAGTTTAAATCATTGGGTTCCAAGTTACCTAATGAGTGGCAATCCTCATCTTCTTTGCACAATTGTTATAGAATTTGTGTTGACTTGGGTCTTTTTTTCTATTCGAGCCTTTTGAATTTGAACTTCTCCATGTAACGACCTTTTCTTTGAAGCCACTTGAGAAAATGATATTTCCATTCGATGCTCTTTAGTCACCATTTTTTAGTGATTTAACCGAGTATTGGCTTCGTTTATGGGCTAAAGAACCTCTTTTGAAATTGAACTTAGGGTCTTTTGACTACTTTCGATTTTGTCAACATACGTTTCTAGCTTAGGTGAAGCTAGAATCGAACTACCTCCTCTTTATGGGAGAGGTCATACCAATTATAATCTATATGACCATTTAAAAAATCCATGAAGTTATAGAACTTATCCGTTATGTGTAAAGTGGTAATGAGCCATTTGTAGAAATGGGCGAGCTTTGGGTCTTCAAAATGAGAAAATCATAGAACTCCCTTATCGACCATGCGATTGAAGATTTGGTTAGCCATTTTTGTGGCCTTTGATACAGCAAGTTGTTCTTATAAATTAGATAAGTTGAAACATCAAAAGTCAAAATCTTCATGACTTCAAGACAAAGACTACTATCAACATTCATTACTTCTTCTTTATCGGAAAAATTTAATTCTTTGGACTCTATTAGGTTTTGAATTAAATTCTTAAATAAAATACAATTGTTAGTTGAATAGGATCGAGCATAATGCCATTTACAAAATTTTCCTTTATTTAACTCTTCTAAAGTCGACAATTTATGTTTTCTTTTGAGTCCGATCCTATTATAGCCTAAAAAGCCAATCAAAGATCAAGTCTACTTTGTCAAGGTCGAAAGAATATTTATGATCTTCTTTCAACATAAAACTTATGAGAGCTTATACATTCTTTTGAGGCAATTGTTTATAGAATAATAGCTTTCCTTTAACATAGCTTACAAAATTAACATCGACCATCAAGGAATCTTGACAATATGTTCCAACCATGGTATTTTTAAAGTGATTCTTCATGAAAAAATTGCTTCAAACCTTAATGCCCTCTCTTTCAATTCATAAAGGTCTTGAAACACCATGCCCTCAAATTTTTTTATGAGCTCAAAATCCAATCCGTCGTATGTAAAACATTCAAATTTGCTTTTAGGTAAATTAAGTTAGTATCGAACTCTAACTCTTCTAAACCTTGAGAGAAACTATTCTATAGATTCACCATAAAACTACCTTAACCATGCTAAATCTACCGTTGAAATCTCAAGGTTTGTTCTAGAAAACTATACACGAAATGTATTTTGCATATCCCACCAGTTGAAGATGGAATTTGGGAATAAATTGATATACCAAGTGAGTGCTAAAATAGTTAAGGAACTAAAATAGAGTCACGGTTTCATAAAATCATCTCTTGATAACTCTCCACATTAAAAAGTAAATCGGCAAATGTTTCAAAGCGAAACATTATCTTCACTAGAAAAAGAGTGAATTCAAGAGCTAGAAATCTTCTAAGGAAAGGATATTCCTTATTAACATAATTTAGATATGGCTTTCAAAAAACAAGAAGATTGACCCCTTTGTATTTACAGATCCATACATTCTTTTGATCATATTAGCCAAAACCGCTTGACTCAATTCTCTATGTGCATTTTTAAGAGGTAAGATGGGGCGTTAAACCATTTCCCTTAGTTACTTGTCATAGTTGGTACATTCTATGGTAGAAAATTATTTGTTGCCCTTGGGGGCATGTTTGAAGGAAGACCATAATATGGAGGTATGGATTGTGTCAACATTCCTATAAGAGGTGCCCAGTATGAATGGCTATTAGTTTAGCCATAATGAGCATATTCGTAAATATTTTATGGCATGTCATGACCACTTCTACTATCAAATGCTCTATTAGGAGTAGAAGGTGGATAACCCATAGGAATTTCCATTGCCCTAATTGTTAATGATCTTGTTTCCCTACCGATGTCAAAGTTTCTTTGTTTGGTTGGCTCTTTCCCTTTTCCTTCTACCAAAATGACAAACCGTTAAACGTCCTCTCTCATTATTTGATTAATGCTCACGAGTTGTTTTGAACCTTGGTTCAATAATAATCTCTACTTCCTTGGCAACGTTTCTTGCTAATGGAATAAGAGTTTTACTAAATAAGTGATTTATATCTATAATCACTCTATCTACGTTTTCAATTGATAGATCGATGGTATAGTTAGTAATATTTTCATAATTTTTATTTGATGACTAAGCTATAAAAACTCTTATTTTCTTAATATCCTCCTTGAGTTGGTTCCATATTAACTATATTTATCAATTTATTTGACTACCGATATTCATAGATGGATCATATATTCTCTTTATCAATTCTTCAATCTGATTTGACAACATCTATTAGAATTCAACAACTAATTCTTCAAGTATTTATTCCACGACATCATGATTTGGGTTTATAAAACCATCACTTTCATACGAAACCACATGTTCTCGATTCCAGACATCGGACACTGTTTTGACTATTATCTTGTTCTTTATCAATTACATTTTTAGATTATATTATGTCATCATCCCTAGTTTTCCCACGATTGTGATTCTCTATGGTTTCCATTAGAGGTTTACCTTCAAAAATTTGGACAATATCTTCGATAGAAATAGAAAGTGTTTTGTTGATTTAGTCCCCTTTAGAGAGTTGATGTCTCGTCATATTTCTAGTAGTACCATATTTTGATATTTTTCTCCCACTATAGTCATCAAAACGTGTTACTGATCATCAAATTTGATCTCAAAATGGAGTATATCGATGCTTTAATTTATGATCAAGACCTTCGTAATAAAATACTATAGAGATTGATTTTGCCTAGCAAGTCACTAGGAATTTTTATGGGTACTCAATTTAAAGTAAAAGAAATAAAATAAAAAGAATGTTATTAATCGAAAAAAATAACATTCAATAGATGGAAATACTTTTATCAATCGAAAGAGACAAAATTCATTACAAAAAAATATAAACATCATAGATCGGAAAGTATGACACTTACATCCTTAGCTATTGAGAAATTTGAAGCCATTTGTTCACAATAAATGAAGAATCAATACTTTTTAAGTTACAAAGATGAAATTACTAAATGCAATAAAAACTATCAAACTATTTGCAAGAAAGTAGAAACTAATTGTCACAAGGTAAACTAGAGAACTTGAATAAACTTGTGTTGAAAAAAGTCTTGTATTGTTAATTGTCCCAAATTATATTAGTCTTCCTTCTTCAAATAACTCTCGATTGATAACTTTCTTGAATTTAAAATTAAGCACAAATAGTTATTTGTCAACTATCTCTTTATTTCCTTTAGGCATATTGTCTAGTAAAAAATAGTTGATTGTAGGACTAAACGTATCATTTTACTTAAGTCTTATGATTTCATCGAAACTTAATTGGTTATACGACCAAACGTACCATTTCTCTTAAGACTCGATACTCCGTCAAAACTTGGTGGTTAGTTAAAAGACCAAGCACACCGTTTCATTTAACACTTAATGCTTCGTCAAAATTTGGATGGTTTATAAGACCAAATACACGTTTTATTTATATTTTACTATCTCATCATAAGGAGATACCACATTTTATTTATATTTAATTGTCTCATCATAAGGAGATATCACACTTGATCGACATGTGATCTTAAAATTTTGAAGTGCCAACTAGAATCTGCTAATTATGTGCTTGCTGATGCTACTTCTCTTAATATAAAGTTTCTAAGCAACATAAAGTGCTTCATAGCTAACTATAGGAATTTTTAAAGAGAGTGAAAGAACTTTAGTTTTTATAGAGAGAGAGTGTGGGGGGAAGAGTAGGGCTTGGTTTTAGGCATTTTTAGGATTTGAAATTAGAAGGAAAAGAGAATTGGGTGACATGTTGCTCGAATTGGGAAGGATAATTATGAACTAAGCTACATGGGATCCTACATGGTGTTTAGTTCCTATTATCATCCTATTTCCCTTGCTACGCTAGCTAATAACAAAATTTTGGCTAAAAAATTTACGCATGCTAATATTGTTAATATAAATTTAGTTTATGTATTTTACGTCCAATATTGATAAAACATACTAATATATGATTAAAAAGTATAAAGTTTGTATTTTGTTTGTACAATAAGTCTATTTTCTAAACTTAAGCATTGCTGACATGAGTTAGTTAATAGGTTGAAGAATGGGGTTGGCTCCAAGATCATTTTAAGAAGGCTAAAACATCTTCTTAATCGATAAGATTTTTTAATTTTTTGGAAAAAAAAATGAAATAATAAGTTTTTCTTTTCTTGTGTAGTCTTTTTTTTTTTTTATCGTTTTTCAAAGAGCAAAAGGGATTATTTTAAAATTTGAAATCATAGGTTTTAAGTAATAAAAAAAAATCATTAAAAAATAAGGATATATTATTTATTATAGAAAAAAATAATGAGAATAACAATTTTTGAATGGTTGATCAAAAGGCAAGCTATGTTTTAAAAGCTGATTTAGTTAAGAAAATGATAGATTTAGTTTCAATTGATATAAAAATTGATTTAAAAATATCTCATTATCTATAAATATAAAAAAAATAACATAACAAAAAATTAAAAGCAAACAATTTGATGATAAATAAATAACTCAAAATGAAATCTTACTAGAAAATCAAGATAATAAACTTTGGACAAAATCAATTTTATATTGAACAATAAAGTTCTTTCAACAAATCAAATTGTCATTAACCTCTAAAAAAAGATTAAAAGAAAAAAGCTTTTGTTCATCTTTTTCCCTAACAAAATATGTATAGGGCATGGTTATATCTTTTTGTCAAAATCCATGAAAAAGACAAAAGAAAATTACTATATATCAAAAAAACATGAAGTTGTGATTGTTCATAACTCTGTTCACCTCTTTATATATATATGTGTGTGTGTGTGTGTGTGTGTGTGTGTGTGTGTGTTTTATAACTCAAGCATAAAGCATTTGTAGTCCAACGATTATGATAAATGCCTTTCAAGTAATATACCCGAGTTCGACTCCCGACATATGCATTTATGCTTTAATTTTTCACACACACACACATATATATATGTTTTATAACTCAAGCATAAAGTATTTGTAGTCCAACGGTTGGGATAAATGCCTTTCAAGTAATATACCTAAGTTTGACTCTTGACATATGCATTTATGCTTTGATTTTTTTTTTCATACATATACTATATACATAAAAGACATGGGGTTGTGATAGTTCACCTCTCTTTTTTCTTTTTTTGGTTTCGAGTTGTCGTTTTCCTTTTTGCCCTCTTTGTTTTTTTCCTATCAAGTTAGGTTCTTTTTTTATTTAATTTTTTTCATCCACTATTCACCTTTCTTTTGTTTCGAGTCTTTGTTCTCTTTTTTTTTTTTCAAGTTGTTGTGAATACTGTCTTTTCTTTTTCTCCTCCTTTCTTTTTTCCATCAAATTAGGTTCTTTTTTTTTTTTTTTGAATTTTCCGATATTGTCATTTTAGTCTCTAAAATTTTAAAATAAAAATTTTAATCCCTTAACTGCATGCACTACTCTTGTCTTTTCCGTTCTTTTTCCTTTTCTTTTTTTCATTGTTTTTTTTTCCAACAATTTATGTTTTTTTTTAATTAGTTGTTAAATTTTAAAAAAATCAATCGTTACTTTTTTTCATACAAACTAATGAATATATAACATATACAATATTTTTTATATTTATACAATACGTTTTTGGATTTTATTATAATATATTTTTTTAAGTTGTGTTTACTATACATGCCTTTTTTTCTTTGCTTTTTTCCATCAATTTAGGCTCTTTTTTTTAATTTATTTGTTTTTTAATTTTTTAGGTTTTTTTATTTTGGTCTCCGAAAATTTAAAATAAAAAACTTAATTCCCTAACTAATGCATTACTCATGCCTTTTTTTTTCTTTGCTTTTTTCTTTTGCTTTTTTTCCCACTAATTTATTTTATTTTTTATTTAATTAAGTGTTAAAATTTTGACAAATCAATCGTTGTTTTTTCCATACAAACTAACAATTATATAACACTACTCATGCTTTTTTTTCCCTTTGTTTTTTTTTTTTTTCATCAATTTATGTTCTTTTTTCTTATTTGATTAGGTGTTAAAATTTTAAAAAATCAATCGTTACTTTTTTCACACGAGTGACGATTATGTAATATATACAATATTTTTTGTAGTTATACGATATGTTTTTAGATTTTAGAATAAACATAAAGTACTCTTATTGTTTAAAATTGATTTTTTTGATAAAAATTCTCATAAAGTTAATTTTTATTCTTTTTTTATAATTTTATTTATTGATAAATATGACTTATTTTATCTATTTATGGGTACGAATAAGTTTTTTCAATACCTGTTTTTATTTGTTTAATTCTTATGTAATCAAATTTCAAAAATTGAATATATGTATTTTATTTCTTATTTTTTACATAATCAAATTTTATCAAAATCAGTTTTATAGTTTTTACTACACTCTATTAATTTCAATATATATTTTACCATTAATTTTTTTAAATATTTTTTAATTTATTTTATACACTCTTCCCTATTGAGTACGGTCATAATGTATCGAAAATAATAACGTTAGAGTTATTAATTTTATTAGAAATCAACTATGCATCTATATACATAATACTAACTATTATGTATTACTTTTTTAATATTTAAAATGATTTTTAAATAAAATAATTGAAATAATATTTTAGAATAACCACCTAAATAATTCAAATAAAATTTGATATACTAAGATTATTCATTATTTTGTAAATAAATATACATAAATCAAATGTATATATTTAAAAAAATAATCTTCTCATCAGTAAAAACATTACATTTGTTAATTTTCATATAAGTTTTTATGCTAATTATTGCTTTATTTCTTCAATGCAATGTAATGAAAAAAATATTAAGATATTGTTTTAAAATTTTATATTAAAATTTATTTATTATGGGTTTTATTTAAGAATAAATGCATAAGAAACAATAAATCATATTTTTTTACTTCAAAATTTATCTTATATATTTAATTTAATATATTTTAATTAACCGATAATATAATATATGTTATTAAACTGAAATAAATATATTTAGTTTGATCCCAGCAGTAGCACGAAAATCGAACTAGTCATATGTCTAAAATTATTATTCACATACTATTCATATACATAAAATTACTATTCACTTGATGTCAATTTAAATAATTTTTTTGTGTCATTTTTTGTGTTTTTTGGACACTAATATGCAAATTTAACACTTATTTTCTATTTTTCATCCTTCACATTGTAATTTTTTTTTAATCCTTAGTTTTTATCTTTCTTTCATCCAATTAATATTTTATATAAGATTTTATTTGCTGATAAATATAATTTATTTTTCTCTATATTTGAATTTTAGAATAAAATTTTAAAACATGATTTTTTTTCTTTTTAAAAAAAGTAAAATAGTATAATATATATCATGAATTCTTAGAATTTTTAAATGATAGTTGCGCATATATAAATATATAATTATTTTATTCTAAAAGGTTAAAAGTGCATTTCAAATAATTTGTCTCAATCCACTAGATATGGTCAATACATATAAAAAAAAACCATTGAATCATTAATTTTATTAAAAATTAACAATACATCTTCCAACATAATATAAATTATATACTATGAATATATTCTTTTTAACATTACAGAACCAATTTATTTGAAATGAAATAATTAAAATAATTTTTTAATGGAACCAATCAGTTATTCAAATATAGTTTTTTATGCTAATTTTGTTGATTATTTTGCAAACAAATATATATAGATCTACTGCATATACTAGTAAAAAAAAAAAATTCTCACCAACATTAAAGAAGAATAAATTTTTATTTTTTCGTTGGTTAATTTTTATGTATGTCTAAACATTAATTGTAACTTTTTTTTTTGATACATTCTTATAAAAAAATATAATTTTAAAGTATTTTCTTTTGAATTCTTAATTAATATTTCAGATTTAAATCATTACAAATTTTTATTTAAGAATCCATAAATAAAGAAGAATAAATCATGTTTGTTAAGCAAAAAAATAATGAGAAACACACAAAAAATTTTTGCAATAATTAAATAAAAATTATAAAAATTTTAAATAATTTTGTTTTATCTACTCACGGCGTTGTATAGATAATTTTAAAAATTAATCTTCTCATTAGCATTAAATAAGAAAATTTTTTATTTTTTATTTTTGTAAAAGTTTTTCCATTAATTATAACTTTATTTTTTGGAATACAATACTATGAAAATTATATTTTTTTATATATATTTTAATTCTTGATTAACATTTTAGTTAAAATTATTATATTTTTTATTTTAAAATCAATTCATAAAAAAGAATAATTTATGTTTTTTTAAGCAAAAAATTTATGAAAAAATTAAAAAAATTAATTGATAGGAAAATATAATTAAAAAAATTAAAATTTTAAGATAATGTTTTTCCATCGTATTCATAGCATAGCACGAGTCACCCTACATGCATAAAAAAAGCGACTAGTTATTATAAAAAAAGCCAAAACTTCCAAACTAATAATAATAGTAACAATAATAAATACATAAATAAAGGAAAATAACAGCTACCAATTACTCTCTCACCCTACATGCAGACAGAGATCATAACTGATCTAGCCACTTGTAATACGATTTTTCTTTTTTACATTATAGAATCAATTTATTTCAAATAAAATGATTAAAATAATTTTTTAATGGAACCAATTAGTTATTCAAATGTAGGTTTTTATGCTAATTTTGTTGATTATTTTACAAACAAATATATATAGATCTACTATATATACTTGGAAAAAATAATCTTCTCACCAACATTAAATAAGAATAAATTTTTATTTTTTTGTTGGTCAATTTTTATGCATGTCTATACTTTAATTGTAACTTTATTTTTTTTTATATACATTCTTATAAGCAAATATAATTTTAAAATATTTTCTTTTGAATTCTTAATTAATATTTTAGGTTTAAATCATTACAACTTTTTATTTAAAAATCCATAAATAAAGAAGAATAAATCATGTTTGTTAAGCAAAACATTTATGAAAACACACACAAAAAAAAAAAAATACGATAATTAAATAAAAAATTCTAAAAAATTTAAATGATTTTGTTCTATCTACTTGTAGCGTTGTGTAGATAATTTTAAAAATTAATCTTCTCATTAGCATTAAATAAAAAAATTTTCATTTATTAATTTTTGTAAAAATCTGTTTATTAATTATAACTTTATTTTTTAAAATACAATACTATGAAAATTATATTTTTATAGTTTTTTAATTCTTGATTAACATTTTAGTTAAAATTATTATATTTTTATTTAAAAATAAATTCATAAAAAAGATGATTTATGTTTTTTTAACAAAAACATTATTTAAAAAATTAAAAAATTAATTAATTAAAAAATTATAATTATAAAAATTTAAATTTTAAAATGATTTTTTTTCTATGGAATCAACAGTATAGTAAGAATAAACGACTAGTTTTTATTAAAAAAGCCAAAATTCCCAAAGTACTTATAATAATAACAATGATGAATAAATAAATAAAAGAAAATAACAGCTGCCAATTACCCCCTCACCCTCCGGGCAGAAAGAGATCATAATCCGTCTGGCCACTTGTACTACGATTTTTCTTCTTCCACGACTTTCCGCCTTTTAGATCAAGGAACAAGTGACACGTAAGTAACCTTTTTTCGTTTAGTCCTTTCCTACTGATAACGGTCAGTGACGTAGGACATATTGGTTGACTGTGTCCTTGTTTCAAACTTTTTGGTTACACCAAAATTGATGGGACTCTGGAACATGTGAAGGCGAATTGTCAAAACGCCGTGCGTTGACTATCAGTACTGAACAATATGTGAAAGGTTTCTTGAAGAACGTAACCTTAATTATTAATGTTATATATATATATATATATATATTATAAATCATTGTCAGTAAACAATTTCAAGAATGGGAGTGTTATTTGTGTGCTCTTTCTTGATCTCTATTTTAATCACTTCCACCGCATTAGAAATCATCAACCCTGGCGAATCTCTGAGAGATGGCGAGACTCTGGTTTCTGCAGCAGGAAGCTTTGAACTTGGATTTTTCAGCCCTGAAGGTTCAACAAGCAGATACTTAGGATTATGGCACAAGAAGTCTCCTCAGACTGTTTTATGGGTAGCCAACAGAGAAAATTCACTTTCTGATCATTTGGGAGCTCTGAATATCACCACCCAAGGGATTCTCATTCTTCTCAATAACACAAACCATATTGTTTGGTCATCAAATTCAAGTGCATCAAGAACCATACAGAATCCAGTAGCACAGCTCTTGGGGTCAGGAAATTTTGTTGTCAGGGAAGGAAATGATTATAACCCTGCAAACTATCTGTGGCAGAGTTTTGATCATCCTTGTGATACCTTACTACCTGGAATGAGATTGGGAATAAACTTTGTGACACGGATGGACAGGTTTTTGTCATCTTGGAAGAGCACAGAAGATCCTGCTCGAGGTGAATTTTCTTTTCTTATAGATCCTCACGGCTATCCACAGCTACTTTTGAAGAGAGGGAATAGAACGGTGTTTAGAGCGGGGTCATGGAATGGCATAAAATTTACATCAAATCCTAGACCGAAACCTAATCTAATTTCCGCAAATGAATTTGTGTTCAACAACAAAGAAGTTTTTTTCGAGTATCGGATGCAAAGTTCAGTTTCTTCAAGGCTTACACTAAGTCCATCGGGCCTTACTGAGAGCTTCACATGGAACGACCGAGCTCAGGATTGGGTGATCGTCGAAAATGGCCAGTTCGATCAGTGTGAAAGTTACGGGTTCTGTGGTCCCAATACTCGGTGTGAGATGAGTAGAACTCCTATATGTGTATGCTTGGATGGATTCACGCCCAAGTCTCCTGTAGATTGGAATTTTTCAGATTGGTCAGATGGTTGCAGCCGGAGGACTCCGCTGAATTGTAGTGATAAAGATGGCTTTCTCAAGTATTCAGCCAATAAACTGCCAGACACATCTTCTTCCTGGTTTGACAAGAGCATTAGCCTCAAGGAATGTGAGGTTTTGTGTTTGAAGAACTGTTCTTGCAGTGCTTACGCAAATTTAGATATCAGGGGAGGTGGAAGTGGCTGCCTGATTTGGTTTAGTGACCTGATTGATATGAGAAAGTCAACTGGGGATGGACAAGACGTCTATGTTCGGATGGCAGCTTCGGAATTAGGTATCTCTTCTAATTATGCAATTAATTTTGAATTCTCTCCCATCTAGATCACCAGCATGGATAAAAACTGAAGAATTATTTCTGTTTGTCTTGACTTCAAAGAGCCTGGAAAGTGGAAATTGAGGCAATAGCATAAGGATCTTGACTCTGCTGCTTTGCCCACTCCTTCAACACTATTTTCCCTCTTCAATAATTAATTATTATAAACTTCCGCGATTCATTTTTCTTCTTCCGTTTCCCTCAATTCTAAATAAAAAATTGCAAGTTTTGATTCAAGTTTTATTTACGAAGTAAGTTTCGAACTAGTTAATATGTACAGTTGTTCTAACCATTCTCCTCTGCATGCAGCTGTAACTGCGAAAAAAAGGAACCTGAGTAAGAAGAAGAAAGCAGCCATAATTGCCAGCACCGTTGTATTGGGCATGGGCATGGGCATGCTACTGTCAGGAATGATCTTTTTCAAGCGGAGGAGGGATCTTAGGAAGAATAATAAATTTGAAGTACGAAAAGAGGACATGGAGTTACCAATCTTTGATTTGAGTACCATAGCACATGCCACTGATAACTTTTCAAGCAGTAACAAGTTGGGAGCAGGTGGTTTTGGACATGTATATAAGGTAACAAAAGAATCTTACCAACCAACCTATACGTATCCTCTTCATTTATGAAACTAACCGAAATGCTGGAATCATGGCTCAGGGCATATTGATAGAAGGACAAGAAATAGCAGTGAAAAGGCTTTCTAAGAGTTCTGTTCAAGGAATGGACGAGTTCAAAAATGAAGTTGTATTAATTGCTAAACTTCAGCACCGCAATCTCGTCAAGCTTCTTGGTTGCTGCATTCATGAAGATGACAAAATGTTAATCTATGAATACATGCCCAACAAAAGTTTGGACTCCTTTATTTTTGGTGTGAATCTGTCTAAATAAACAGCATTTTTTTTCTATCAGCTAACGTTTATAATTTTAGAACTGTTACAAATCAAGTTGTTAAGTTAATCAGACTAACATGGATGAGAACTTGATCAGACCAAACTAGAAGAAAGTTACTGGATTGGAGGACGCGTATGAACATTATTGGTGGAATTGCTCGAGGGCTACTTTATCTCCATCAAGATTCTAGACTGAGAGTAATCCATAGAGATATTAAAGCCAGCAACATTTTACTAGATAATGAGCTAAATCCAAAAATTTCAGACTTTGGCCTTGCTAGAATGTTTTGTGGAGATCAAACGGAGGCCAAAACTCATAGGGTAATTGGAACACAGTAAGTATCATCCTTAATCTTGCCCTAATGATCTTCATTTGCAATTTTTGAGAAATTTTCTTGATAACATTTTTCAGTGGCTATATGTCTCCTGAGTATGCATCAAATGGGCGCTTCTCTGCGAAAACCGATGTCTTTAGCTTTGGTGTCCTCATCCTGGAGATTGTGAGTGGAAAAAGAAATAGGGGATTTCGTCACCCAGATCGAAACCTTAACCTCCTTGGGCATGTAAGTGTTTATATGTTAATGCGTAATATTGATGAACTGAGAGGTGATATTAAATTGTGCAGTTCTCTTTCAGGCAATTCAAATGGCATGCCATAGCAAATTAATTAGTACATCAAGGATGCTTTCTTTAGTTTACTCAATAAAATACATATTGTTTTATTTGGAGTTTCAGAAATGTTACAGTAGTTTTGCTGTTATGACATGACAAGCAAACCAACAGGCAAATTAGAGTGACCAGTCTGCTGACCTGTTGCCATGTTCTGTTTCTTCTTAGGCATGGATACTTTGGATTAAAGGGGTACCATCGGAAATAATTGATGAATGTTTAGCTTACTCGAGCAATACATCTGAAGTGTTAAGATGCATTCATGTGGCTTTATTATGCGTGCAACAACTACCAGAAGATAGGCCAAACATGGCAACTGTGGTTCAAATATTATGCAATGAAAATCCATTGCCTCGGCCTAAACAACCTGGATTTTTCATGGGAACGAATCCACTTGAGCAGGACAGTTCATCAAAACAGATGGAAGCTTATTCATCAAATGAAGTTAGTTTGACATTGTTAGAGCCACGGTAGATTATCATCAGTTGACAATTCAATCAAAAGTATTGTGATGGGACAAGTGCAATCTACATGTGATTCAATACTAACATTTGTTTTTGCTGTTTACTATTCCAGAACAGAGTGCTAGACCTGTAAAATTTAATGCATCTATATTGGAGCAGGCAATGTATTACTATTATCAGTATCGATAAACGAAATTCCATTGATCAAAAACCAAACAAGTAGGTGCTTACCCAGCTAAAAAGAGAACTGCATGCCTCACTACTGCTTTATCTACAACTGGTTCGTCTGGTATTCTCAATACCAACAGGCAATAACTTCTTACCCTCTCACAGTTATGGATAATGTGATGCAGAGCCTAAAAGGTTATAAATATTTCTGTTATCTAAACTTTGAGTTACCTAAGTTTGCTAGCCACTCTGTACTACTCAAACCCCAGAAATAATATGCTTGGCTTTTTTAGGGTGTCGAAGAAGGCAGTTTCCATTCCCTGACTTATCAAATCCAAATCTACAACGGACTATAGCATCTCTACCTCCTCAAACGTCTAGACTGGGATCAGATGCTGGCGTAGGAATTCCTGTTCCACATAGAATATGTTGCATTTTCATTAACATGCACTCCTCTATTGCTGATGTTTCCACTATTTCTTCAAAAATATAGTTGCCCAACATTCTAGGATATTTCTACAAAAATATAGTTGCCCGACATTCTAGGAAGCACTTAACATGTAAATCAAGGATCTTAGACGGTCTGTAAAATCTGCAGCTATGGTCAACAACTCTTATGTTGCCAATGCCATTTATTATGTATCATCTGGTTTGAATGGAAAATAACAGCACAGAGTACACACATACGGGAAATACTGGATCAGCCATATTCTAAAACTTTCAAACAAACTGGTTACATCTATATCTTCATTCCTGGCATATAATTAACTAGATCATGTCATTATAAAGCATAAAAACAAAATTAAAAGATGGAGATAATTATAAGGTTAAAATGCCAATTTGTTTCAATTTCTAATATTTTGTTCACTATATTCCAACGATAATCCAATAATACAAGTCATTAGAGCCAAAAAAAATAATAAGAAGAAGAAGAAGAGAAGCCCACAAAATGGGAACAATAGTCAATAAAACAAAAAAGGATTTAACAATAATCTTTGAACTCCTGTAAAAGAGCTTCCTCTAACAAAAACTGAGACTCTTCCATCAACTCTGGACTCAATCTGAACATCAAAACACAAAACTCCATCTGATTAAGTGCTCCATCGCCATCAAAATCACCTTCTTTTAACATAGACCTTAAATCATCATCACTCAAATCTTGCAAACCCAATAAAGCCGAGTTCTTTTTAAGACTATCAAAAGTGATCACACCCTTTTCACTATCCATCAAAAGATTGAAACCGTTGCATAGTTCTCCAATAAGACCATCACCACCTATCTTATTGGCCATAAGAGGCAAGAAATCTTGAAAGTTTGAGTTTTGGTTTTGTGAAGATGCCATTTTTCTGTAGAGAAGAGAAAGCGTTAGGAAAGAAAGATTAAAACTTGGTTTGTGGGTTTTTGAGAGATGGATGTTTAGGTACATGGATTTGGTTCATATATAGATAGGGAGTTGGGAATTGGGTTTTCCGAGAAGGAGAGGCCATGGAAGACAACTAAGGGACAGATCAGGAAGGAAGGTCCAGACCACACTTACTTTCTCATGGGAGCAGCTGCCTATGGGTTTCTGGGAAGGCTGATCAGGGATAAAACTGTCATTCTAAAGGAAGATAGCTGGTGGATTCTTGGGAACTTTAGTGAGGTTACCAAGGGTAGAGCGGCCAATTTGGAGGAAGAAGTTATTCTCTCGTGGACTTTTGTGAAGAGTGTAGGGGTAAGATGGAATGTTAAGTAGAGGTAGGTGTGGGCCCTTTGGAGGACTTCCTTGTGGGGAAAGCGAGTAATGAGGGGCAAAATTGTGAACATGGAAGGAAAAAGGGAATGGCAAGTTGGGGGGATTTACTTCGTTGAGAAGGTCAATCGAGGTGGGATTATTGGACATGCATTACCAAGAAGTGAGAAATTTTGGACGGTAGTTCTTTTTGGAGAATGAGTTTTGCTTTGGATGCTGCCATGCAATCTTGGAAGACTTTTTTTTTCTTTCTTTTTGGTCCATCGACGTCGTTTATTGTTGAATTGACTTTTCGCGATTAAAAACAGGAAATTATAGTTATTCAGTTTGCAATTGCCTAATGACGTAAAAGTAGCTTGAAAGGGCTTACTATTCAAAACAAGACCATTCTAGTTGATTTTTTTTTTTTTACTCATCCTAGTTGTGATTTTCATTGGAGTCATTGATTGCTCATCGCTTCAATATCCATGTATTTCTTAGAGAGAACAATCGTTCATGCGTAGGCATGTCAGAGTATGTGAGAGGATTGAGTCTTTTAAAATTATCCATTCTCACTAGAATTTGTCCACATCAATTGTTGCATGGCATGTATTGTCGATCGTGATTGGTCATGCTATTTTGAGCTTGCCAAGTCGGCTTAGGAATTTGGGTGATATAGAATTAGAGTTTGCGTGTTTGATCCTATAAATAACAAGAGAGACTCTTTTTTTGCTTTTCTTTTTTTACTTCTATTTCTATTTTTCTATTCTTTTTTTTCTCTCTCTCTCTCTGTCTCTAATAAATTTTTTTTTTTTTTTTACAAATTCTAAGAGTGTTTTCATGGCAATTCTTACTTGTAAATCCTTTTATATGAACTCTTATGAACCTTTTTGAGTGATATTTGTCACTGAACTAATGATTATGTAAACAAGAGTTATAATTTTTATAACATTTCTATTTTTTTGACGATCGATATCGTTTTTTGATATGTAAATCTTAACTCTTCAACTTATTTATTTCTTCATTAAATATGGTAAATTTTGATAAAATTAAGAGTGAATCTAGAGTTACTTCGAATAGATTTTTTAGGAGATAAGAGGTGAATAGTAGTTAAGAAAAGGTAGTTTCGTATGGTTCTATATAGGATTTTAGGTTTGTTCTTATTAGTGAACACCCCGGTAAGGTGTCTTTATAAAAGTTGCTCGTAACATTCTCAACCTAGGACTTAAATAGATCGAGAACATTATCGATGTTGTCTTACATTCCTAATGCAATGAATATAGAACAATAAGCCTCCTCTAATTTGTTATTAAAATTTAGCGTGTAAGGTCCCTATTAATTAAGATTATTAGGTCCAATATTCCTTAAAACCGAGTATAAACATTTTTCATAATATAAATCAATGTCAATTAAGCATTCTTATCATATGCATAGAAATATTAAGCCTTAATTTTGAGTCAAAACCTCGTATCTTTAAAATTCGCTTTAATTATTTTTATAAAGTACCTTAAATAAAACTCATTTAAATCATGTCTATTATTTTTTTCTCAAAATCCTTATAAAAATTGAGATATTAAATAAAAAAATTCTATGTAAGGTAAAACTAGTCAAATTAAATCAATGAAATAAAATTCTTGATAACGTTACTTAAAATCGATTTACTATGAAAAAAATCATTTAAAAATATTCATGATATAAACCTATCAAAACTTGATTTATTTCTTTGAATAAAATTCCTTAAATTAAAAATTTATTTAAAACATGATTCCTTATTATTGTTCCATACATTTCCTCCCTTTTCTTCAAAAATTTAGATTTTATGGAAATCTTTAACTTTCTTAGAAATAATTGATTTTAAGTGGAAAATCATCATTAAAACTATTAGAAATGGGAATTGTCTAAAACAATTGATTTGGCTTCCCATTTAATTCCTTTATTCCAATTAAGTTATTTATTTGTGGAATAAAACATTTTTAGGGTTTATGGAACTTTGGTTCCATGTAATTGAAAAACTTACCAATTTAATTTCTTATACTTAATTAATTTGGTCATTCATTTCATTTCATCTAATTCATTCTTTTTTAGTTAATTAGTATATTCTTTAGCCATTTAACTTCTCATTTCCATACCACATACTAACTAGCTCACTTACATTAACTACTTAGTACTACTACCATACTCATTCATACTCACTTATTAGTTAGTGTCCTAGTGCATGATTAGTTTATACATCATTAGGATAAATCTTAACACACAAAATAAGGTTTTAAAGCATGACATAAAAGAGAAGTTATGACTCTCAAACTCACATTAGATATTAAAGTACACCTTGTGACAAGTCAACTCCCCATCGACTCGACTATCATATCAAATCATGACATCATTTCTTGTTTTCTCTGCCTACACCATAAGGGTAAAGTGAGCTAATGTCTAGTAAGTGTAATCATGTATGATATACACGTGATGCAATTTAGAAAATCCTTTCATGCTTTGAAATACATTTTTTATTTTTAAGTGCACACCTTGTCGATTGTATATATATAATCTAATCGATCCTCTTTTAAAACCATGCAATTATGAACACAAAAGCGCCAAGTACCTCTCCATATCCTTTTCTATTTCCATGTCCATGTTCATGTCTATACAAGAGGGTGATCAATCCTCAAGTATTCATTTAGAGGTACTTGGCCATTCTTTCAAAAACATGCATTTCTTTTTATTTTCCTTTGAAAAATCATGAAGGAAAACGTTTCATGAAATGCCATGAAAATATATGTAACATAACATGCCACACCTTGTACTTTTCCTTTTCATATGTTTTTAATCATCATGGTGCGGATGTCAATGAACTAATCAAACATTAACATGCACTAAACACATATCTAATTGCAAGAATTCATTGCAAAACCAACATGCATTAATCATTCAAAATCATCATCTTGGCCAAATATGGCCTATGCAATTCATTTCATGTATTCATTTAATTATCAATCAATTTCACATGAAATCAATCATAAACATTCTAATAAACACAAAATCATTATCATTTAAAACATACACAATTAATTACAAAATCTTCATGTTTGCCAAATATGTTTCATGATTAGCCAATAAGATTTTTCACAACAATTTATGCTAATTTTCATCCTAGGACTTTAATCATCCATTAATCTTTACTTTGCGCATCACTTAAACCACTTAAACATGTTGGCCGAACCTTTCCCTTCATTAATTTCATGATATTTTCCTTTCAACATACATCTAATTTCAACTAACAACCTCAATTTAACATGTCCATCATCATACTCCAATAACCCTAAAAGTCATGATGTGGCCAAAACTATTAATACTAAGGAATCATTCATTAACAATCCAATTTACCAATTTCATATATCACACAATCACCTTATAAACATAATTGAATACATGTATCAACAAAACAATCAATTTTCTTAAACTTCTTAGGTGGCCAAAAGTTCCTCTCATAAATAATCATGAACAATTCATCATAATTCAACGTGATTTATCATCATACATCACCATCTAACATGATTGATTACATGTACCATTCAAAATGATCATTCCTCTTAAATTTTTTAATCGACTTAAACTTTGATCACCAAAAAAACCATTCATTATCAATCCAATTAACTAAGTTCATGCATCATACAATCATCATCAAAACATAATTGAATACATATATAATCAAAGCAATCAATTCTTTTAAACTTCCTAATTGGCCGAATCTATGATCACCAAGAAACCAATCAATAACAATTCTATCAATCAATTCCTACCTCACACATACTTAATTAACCATAATTTTCATAGATTTCACGTCAATTTCACTTGATCCAAGTAAATATAGCATAACCTAACATTTAACATAAACGCTAGTTTTATTAAATTCATCAAAAAATCATACGATCAATAAAAACAAACTAATCCCTTATAGTGTATGTGAGACTACACTTACCTAAATGTTTTTTATGGATGATTTGGTTTGATCTTGGAATTTCCTCTTCTTCCTCCTTCCTCCTAAGTTTCAGCCAAGTCCTTTCTTTTCTCCTCTTCATCTTGCTTGCTTTCTTAAGATCTTATATATTGTCTAAGTGTGTTTAGATGTTAATTTGGATCGAGTTTTGGGTTGGTTAGGACTAATTCCTACTAGTTTTTCTTTGATTTTAATTTGTTCATCAAGTTTTTCTCCTCTCATGCTTGGCCAAATTTATAAGCTAAAAATGGCATTAGATGGATGACACTTGTTGTTATCTTACAATTACCTTAGCCATGTAATTTTACTTAGCTTAGTTATTTACTTAGTCTTGATAAGTTGACTTACAATTTTCACATAATTTCCATGCAATTTCCTTAGCTTTTCCTTCCTTCTTCTTTTCCTCTCCTTGGTCGAACCAAACCAGCTTCAATTTCTAGTTTTATTGCTAGTTTTCAGGTTCTATTTCAACTTGGTAGAGCCCAAATGATTGGTTCCTAAGTTTTCCAAAAAGTTACACTTTAGTCCTTAACTTTTATAATTCCTTTCAATCATACCCCTATACTTTCAGCTAACCTCTTTTTAATTATATCAATTCAGTATTTCTTTAAGATAATCTCCAAATTAATATTAGCCTCTTAAATCTATTAATTATTCAAATTAATTGGTTAACTTTTAACCTTCACAATTAATCGAATTATGCATCCAAAATTATATCCTTCCAAAACTAATCATCCATGCTTACCCCATTGTATTCTAAATTATTTCCTCTATATCTCTTAATATTTATATACATATAAATAATATTTTATACACATAAAATATTAATTCACGCATTAAATTCTAATTAATCACTCCTTAAATAAATGCTCATGTATTAATAAGAAAAAAGTTTCTTCTTTCATACATACATAATTATTTATGAGGTTTTTGGTCGGATATTACATTGGCTACTCTTAATAAGCATTTAAGATAAGAACACCTTATCCTTATCCCTCACTCGGGAAGAAAGAATTAGCAAGACGGTTCGCTAGGGTCATGAGGGGGAACATGGAGATAACTTCATATGTGTGCATGCTCGGTTATAATTACAATTTTTCTTTATTCGAGTTTGTGATAGAGATTTTCCAGCACTACAACTTGTACTTTAGTAAGTTTCACCTAAACAGGTGGACTATAATGGTTATTTTTTATACCTTTTGAAGGTAGTT